GTGCAACCATATGATATGCAAGACATAAGTTGGCTTTCTGATATCATTAATTAGGCCATTTATTCAAGTGTTTATCAAACGCCTGTACACAGCTTGATAGGGATGTGACATTGGTTAAGCTGTTATTTGGAGGCTACTGATTTGTTAGCTGTATCTTTAAAATGAATTAGAAAAACTGCTGAAATCTAAAATGGTTACGGTCTTATATAGGCCTCACTGCTAGTCCAGGGGCCTTCTGAATGCACACTTATGAATTAAAATGTCACTTGAACTGATCATTGACCAATTATTAAAGTACCTTTCATCAGGTCATGGAGTAGGTCTCCCACCATTTATTTTCTTGAAAGTTAGCTATAATAAAAATTTTCAGGTTCTGTGGCTAACCCTTAGATATTACTGTTCTTCTGTTGTATCTTAAACATTTCAAAGTATTTACAGATTTTTTTATTTTAACATTTCTTGCAAAATTTGTGAACATTTTTCATTAAATCAACTTGTCAGAAAATAAAGGTTGAACTCTGTAGCTATATGTGGTCCTAAAGTTGTAGCTTAAAATTAAAAGGGCCTACCCCAACCTTTACTCTTTATAAGTATTCAAATATTCCTTTGGATGCCAGATAAGAAATTCCTAGTGCTAGATATACAGCAAGATAACAATCTGGTTGCATATATGAAGTACTTAAATATACGCAGTTGCAATTCCAGTGCCTTATTGCTTCATTTATCACAGGAAGTGCCAGAGTTTTGAAATATTTTGTAAGAAAAGCTACTCTACTTGCATCAATTCTCATAAGAACGACCAAGAATTTTATGCCAATTTAATCCTAAGTATTGAGGTTAGGATCCTAAATGACATTTAATAGTATGATTTATTTTCTTTTTTAAAAATATATTTTTATTAATTTCAGGGAGGAAGGAAGAGGGAGAGAGAAATAGAAGCATCAATGATGAGAGAGAATCATTGATTGGCTGCTTCCTGCACTCTCCCCACTGGGGATCGAGCCTGCAACCTGGGCATGTGCCCTTGACCGGAATCGAACCTGGGACCCTTTAGTCCGCAGGTCAAGGCTCTATCCACTGAACCAAACTGGCTAGGGCTTATTTTCTATCTTAAACTTTATAGGGCACAAAACAAGACCTTATCCTTTCATATTGCTTTTTATTTTTAAAGCATCCGAGTGGTAATAAAAATCTAAGCTTAAGAATGGTCAGATGATTTATGATATTTCATTTCTTTTTCAAAGGATTGGGGTGTCACCAGTAAGCCTATTGGAATTGTAGGTTTAAAGTTTCTCAATTTTAAAAAAGACCAGCTGCATAAACAAGTGTGTTAGCTTTGTAATTTAATTCTATGTGTGTGTGTTTTTGTTTTTTTTTATACTTCAAAGTACCAAAGGATGCATTTATTCTTAGGTCATAGATACTTGTTTATGTCACTGTGATCTCAAACTTTCAAGTACACTTCACAATCATCTTAAAATATTAATATGTTGTTATTGTGTTTTTCAAAACCTCAAGACATTTCTCCTTTTGTCTACCTAAATCTGCCTTTCTTCATGGGTTGACCACCAACAAAGGTGGAATGTGGATAAACTAGATGAAGACTACTTAAAAAACTGGTATCCTGCATTTAAGGATGGATAATATAATTATCCTTGAGAATGTGCCATAAGCACCTTAAAGCTATTTTCTATTAAACTTTTAAATTTAGGATAATTTTAAATCCACATGTAGTTATAAGAAATAATATGCATCTCATGTACCCTTTACAATTTTCCCCAAAACAAAGGCAACCAAAGCAAAAGTAAGCAAGTAGGACTACATCAAACTAAAAAGCTTCTGCATAGCAAAGGAAACCATCAACAAAATGAAAAGGCATCCTATGGATGGGAGAAAATATTTGCGAATCGAATATTCCAAAAGGAAATAATATCCAAAATAAACAAAGGACTCGTACAACTCAATAGCAAAAAAAACCAAATAACTCAATTTAAAAATGGGCAAATGACCTGAATAAACTGTTTTTGAAAGAAGACATACAAATGACCAATAGAGCCCTAACCGGTTTGTCTCAGTGGATAGAGCATCGGCCTGCGGACTGAAAGGTCCCAGGTTCGATTCCGGTCACGGGCATGTACCTTGGTTGCCGGCACATCCCCAGTGGGGGATGTGCAGGAGGCAGCTGATCGATGTTTCTCTCTCATCGATGTTTCTAACTCTATCCCTCTCCCATCTGCTCTGTGAAAAATCAATAAAATATATTTTAAAAAAAACAAAAAACAAATAACCAATAGTCACATGAAACTAATAACTAATCATCAGGGAACTACAAATCAAAAGCACAGTGAGATATCACTCACACCTGTTAGGGTGGCTATTATAAAAAGACAAGATAACAAATGCTGGCAATGATGTGGGTAAAAGGGAACCCTTGTACAAGGTTTGTGGGAATGTAAACTGGTATAGCCATTATGGAAAACTGTATGGGGATATCTCAAGATATTAAAAATAGAACTACCGTATGATCTAGCAATTCCACTCTGAGAATATATCCAAAGGAAATGAAACCATTATCTCAAAGACGAATCTGTACTCCCGTGTTCATTGCAGTATTATTCACAATAGCCAAGATATGGAAACAACCTAAGTGTTTACCAAGAAATGAATTTATCAAAAAAATATGGCATATGCAACAGATTGATGATTTCATAGGGAAGAGGGGATGGAGGTGGGGAGACATTAGCCAAAGAGCTTATATGCATATATGCATAACCCATGGACACAGACAATAGTTTGGTAAAGGCGTGGGGAGGGGGCAGGAATAGGGAGGAGGGGTCAGTGGGAGAAAAAAGGGGGACATTTGTAATACTTTCAACAATAAAGATAAATTTAAAAGAAGAAAATATGGTATATATGTAATGGATATTATTCAGCCTTTAAAAAAAGGAAAGCCTGACATTTGTGGCAACATGGGTGAATCTGGAGGACATTATGTTAAGTGAAATAAGCCAGAGAGAAAGACAAATACTGTATGGTATCACTTATACTGTGGAGTCTTTAAAAAAAAAAAAAAGTTGAACTCATAGAAACAGAGTAGAAGGTAGAAAAGTAGTTGCCAGAGGCTAGGATGTTGGGGAAATAAGGGTGCAAACTTAAAGTTATAAGATGAATAAGGTCTGAGGATCTAATGTATAACATGGTGACTATAGTTGATAACACTGTATGGTATAATTAAAATTTCAAGAGAGAGTAGAACTTAAATGTTCTCACCAAAGAGAAGGAAGGGGAGGAGAGGA